AGCAGCGTGGGAAAGATGGAAAGTTACCTATAAGGGGCAACCAATAAGACTAAGCTCAGATTTCTTGACAGAAACCATGCAGACAAGAAGACAATGTGATGGTATATATAAAACCCTGAAAGAGAAAAATTTCCAACCAAGAATTATGTACCCAGCAGAACTGTACCTCAAATATGATGGCAAAATTAGGACATCTCCAGATAAGCAGAAATTAAGGGAATTTGTTAAAACCAGACCAATCTTACAAGAGATGCTAAAAGGAGCCCTTTGGACAGAGTAGTAATGGCCAACAACAACTGACCATTAACACACATGATGATATAACTCAGAAAGCAACCCAGCTATGGAAATATCCAAAGTAAGTAAGCCTACATGTAAACAGGGAACCAGAGACACCAACCGACAAATGAGGACAACTACAAACCAAAAAGAGGGAAAAATCTGTGTCATTACAGAACTTCTAGATAGTAGGGAAGTCAAGACAACTACAAGATAGAATGGACTGTTCTAAACTTAGGAAGAAAAGTATAAATCACAGGGTAACTTCAAAGGAAAATGATAAACCTTCACATCAAAAAAGAGGACCAGCATAAATATTCAGCAAATACTAAAACAATAGCAATGAAGGAAGTGATAACATGACTCATAAACAATATGAGCTCAGAATAGAAAATTATATGGAACAAAGAAATCGACACAATGAAAAAGCACATGACAAAAATGACAGCAACAAATTCATATTTGCTGATAATTACGTATCTGGCAAGGGACTTATCGCTAAGATTTATAGCAGAAGAGTGGATGACCAAACTATGGTACATACACATAATGGAATGCTATGCAGCACTAAAGAAACATCGCATAATATGGATGAACTTGGAGGACATTATGCTGAATGACATAAGTCAATCACAGAAGGACAAATATAGTATTAGTTCATTGTTGTAGAGGGTCAAGGAAAGGTTTATATATGGAAAGAAACCTTTGTTGGTTGCCAGAGGTGGGAGGGGAGGGGAGGGAACACTGCGAAAAAGAAAAATGCATTGACCCATGTCACTTTAGTTTTGTTTATTTCACTGTACATAAACTACATTTCAGTAAAATGCATTTTAAAAAAATAAGTAAGAAAAAAATGTAGTGGTAAAGATGATGATGATCTGCTCAGAGTACTATGGGAGCGCCAGCCTAACAGAAGAAATGTTTACTGTAGTCTCAAATATTGTAACAGTAAAAAACTGGAAATAGCCCAAATGCCCATTCAATAAAGGAATGGCTAGAACTGCACTGTGTGATAGGTGGCCACTAGCAATATGTGGTTATTGAACATTTGAAATGTGGCTAGTCCAAATTGAGAGTAGCTACAAGTCTAAAATACACAATGGATTTTGACAACTTTTGGTATAAAACTTGAATGTAAGCTATGTCATTAATGCTTTTTATATTGATTCCATGTTGAAATAGTATTTTGGATACAGTGGGATAAGTTAAATATATTATAATTGATTTCATCTTTTTCTTTTTACTTTTTAAAACGTGGTTACCAGAAAAGGTATAGTTACATATGTGGCTTGCATTGTATTTCTATCGGGCAGCCCCAGTCCATGAGAGCCAAAATACGATCCTGATTATATCTCACTTCAATTTAGAGCCTATCTTAAGAAAAGATTTGATGCATTAAACACTAATGACTGAAGACCAGATGAGTTGTGCTATGACATCAAGAACATGATATATGAAGAAAGCAAAAGATCATTAAAAAGACAGGAAAGTAAGAAAAGACCAAAATGGTTGTCAGATGAGACTCTGAAACTTGCTATTGAATGTACAGTAGCTAAAGTGAATGGAAGAAATGATGAAGTAAAAGAGCTAAACAGAAGATTTCAAAGAATGGTTAGAGAAGAATTGATGCCTCTGAATTATGGTTTTGGTGAAGAATATTGAATACATTATGGACTGCCTGAAGAATGAACAAATCTGTCTTGGAGAAAGTACAGCTGGAATGCTCCTTAGAAGTGAGTTGGGAAGAATTTGCCTCTTGTACTTTGGACATGTTATCAGGAGGGACTAGTCCCTGGAGAAGGACATCATGCTTGGTAGCAGCTGAGCAAAAAAGAGGAAGATCCTCAAAGAGATAGGCTGACACAGTAGCTGCAATGATGGGCTCAAGCACAGCAATGAATTGTCAGGAAGGTGCAGGGATGCACAGTGTTTTGTTCTGCTGTCCATGGGGTCACTGTGAGTAAGAACCAACTCCGTGGCACCTAACAACAACAACAGGGTAGATTTCATATATATATATAAAAGACAGTAGGTTTTTGTATGTTGTTGTTGTTGTTATGTGCTGTTGAGTCAGACCCGACTCATAGCGACCCCTCCTTGGGTTTTCGAGGTGGTATCACTCTGGAAGTAGTATAGCTGATTAAAAATATAAGTAATAGTATCTGTTTATCAATATATATTTATTTGAAATATATATTTAAGAAGCATAACCTCAAATTTTATGTAACTGTTGATGAACCACTCTAAGATTTGGTGATCTGTAAGGATTTGGGATAAAGTTATATGCTCTGTACCAGAAGCCTGAATCTTTCAACTGAGCATCTCTTATAATAAATATATAATTCTACCATGTGCCTGCAATATATGTAGATTTATAAATTGTATTCTTATCCATATTGAGGAGCCCTGTGGCACCCTTGCCTGCTAACCAAAAAGTCAGCAGTTCAAACCCACCAGCCACTTCATGGGGGAAATATGCAGCAATCTGCTTCAGTAAAATTTGGAAACATACATTAAAAAGAATTTATCTAATGATATAGAAAAATAGAAAATATTCTAATATTTTTTTGTACAACTCTAATGGATTATATGTGTACCATTTAATTCAGGAAAGTAACAAAAAGTGTTCTAAGATTCTTGTACTATCTGTTAAGTTGATGTTAATTATGTATGGTATTCATTTCATAATAAATTACCCAAAAACTTAGTGGTAATCACTAAGTTAATCCATATGTAGTCTTTGGAGTTTATGTGGGTCAGAAATTTTGGAGTGGCTTAGCTGGGTGGTTTGAGATGTCTCATGAAATTGTAGTGAAGATGTCATCTGGGGCTGCAGTCATATGAAGGCTCGACGGGGGGTGGAGGATCACTTCCAGGGTGGCCCATTCACAGCCAGAACGGAGGTCCTCGGGAAGCAGACATCAGCTGTTATCACTGTGTGGTGTGACGGATCATTTTTATATGGCCTTTCTCACAGTGATCTTGTAACTTCCACCAGATGATTATGTGGATGTATGCAAATAAGGTGCTTGTGGCCCACCAAGGGGATTGGACAGCTTGCTAAAAATAAGGTGCAGGACATCCTTATGGGGGTAGAACCATACAAATAATGTATACGGGACTTATTAAGGGGATTGGTCAGTTCTGTCATCCTACTAGGCTTAAAATGAGCCATCCCAGAGGCAAGAAGAAGGCAGAACCTCACTACCATCAAGAAAGAAGAGCTAGGAGTGGAGTGTGTCCTTTGGACCCAGGATCCTGGTGTTGAGAACCCCCTTGATCCAGAAGAGAGAGAAAGCTGTAACACTTGAGATGGTAAGAGATGATGAGAAGCAGTGGCAGAGAGATGGTGGTAGAAGAAGCAACAGAACCAGAAGACTGGCAGGAGATGGTGTGGTGGGCTTCCTGGTCCATGGAGCAAGAAATCTGAGTGTCTTCAGGCAGGAGGCTCACTTGCAGAGTGAGGTGCCTTTGGGCACTTATTGGTGGAGCTTTGTTACACTTGCCTGAGCTGGGCAGAGGCAGGGTTGCTAAGAGGCCCAAACGATCCAAGAGGCCTAAGAGGCCTGAGGAGATGAGCAGCCAAGGGCTGTGAAGGTGAGGGACAGCCTGTGTCTGTGCGCACAGCTGAGAAGCTGTCTTGACTTAACTGAATCCTGAGCCATTTCTGATTCTGAATTATAACCTGTTACTTCCCTAATCAGTAGTTGGTCACAACTGGACCAATAGGCAACATCATGATAAATGGAGAAAAGATTTCACTTGGATCCATAATCAATGCCCCTGGAAGCAGCAGTCAGGAAATCAAATGACGCATTGCACTAGGCAAATCTGCTGCAAAAGACCTTTTTAAAGTGTTTAAGAGCAAAGATGTTGCTTTGAAGAGTAAGGTGCCCCTGACCCAAGTCATGTTACTTTCAATAACTTCATATGCATGTGAGAGCTGAATAATGAATAAGGAATACTGCAGAAGTACTGATGCATTTGAATTGTGGTGTTGACAAATAATATTGAATGTACCATGGACTGCTAGAAGAATGAACTAATCTATCTTAGGGGAAGCACAGCCAGAACGCTCCTTAGAAGCAAGAATGGACACACTTTGTCGCTCATACTTTGGTCATGTTGTCAAAAGGGGCCAGTTCCTGGAGATGGATATCATGCTTGGTAAAGAAGAGGGTCAGCAAAAAAGGGGAAGACCCTCAACAAAATGCATTAACACAGTGGCTGTGATAATGGGCTCAGGAATCACAATGATTATGAGCATGGTGCAGTGTTTTGTTCTGTTCTCTATAGGGTTGCTATGAGTTGAAACCAACTCAATGGCATCTAACAACAACTTCCCTAATAAACCCCATAATCATGAGTATTATCTATTAGTTCTGTGTGGCCACTGCACCAAATTATTGAACCCAGCAGAGAAGTAGAGTGCCATGGGAGGGAAGGCTGGTGTCAGAACTGGTGAGAAGGTTGGAGAGAGGAGGTATGTCTGACCTCCACCTCACAGGAATCAGCCTTGGGCTGATACTGATGGTGATTGTCTCTCCCCACATTAAATTAGAGGAGGTAAGATGCCGTTGCCACCCCATTTTTACAACTGTGTCTACTTAAAGTCTGACCTACAAGTTGTGTGCATGATAAAATGGTGATTGTTGCATACTACTAAATTTTGGGGTGTTTTCTTGCATAGAAATAGAAAACCAAGACAAATATTTCTCACTCTTTTGAGCCATGGATTCCTTTGGCAGTTTGGTGAAATTTATGGAGCCCTTCTTAGAATAGTAATACTTTTAAACCCATAAAATAAAATGTATAAACCAATTATATTGAAGTACAATTATCAAAATATCAAAAAAAAGGAAATTTGTGTTTCTTTATTAATGCATTAAATAACAGGAATGAGCAGTTGGTTTAATAACTACCATAGTTCTGCAACAGTGATACATGTAAATAATATTTCAAGATATCTAAAGCTGTAATATGATATGAAAACATTTTTTATTTCTGCTGGTGTCAAAGTCAAGGAATTACTAATACTATTATGTCATACTAATAGTTGAAAGGAATGTAAATTTCAGTTAAACTTTAATGAGAATAAAGATGTAATTATTTTCCCATTCGGGTTCATGTTGTTATTATGTGCCGTTGAGTTGGACCTGACTCATAGCGACCCCTCCTTGGGTTTATGAGGCAGTATCACTACGGAAGTAGATTGCCCAACCTTCTGAGGGGTGGCTGGTGGATTTGAACTGCCAGCCTTCTGGTTAGCAGTCAACTGCCTTAGACATTATGCTACCAGAGCTCCTATTTGGGTTCATAGAGCCATTAATTTTATCCATGGACCAAGAGTTACAAACTCCAACCTTAAAATAAATTGTTAGAGTAAGTTCTTTTGGAATTGAAGTGGCAGTCTAAGAATAAAGACAACGGGTTTAGCAGGAGTGTGGTAGTTATGTTTGTGTGTCAACTTGGCTGGGCCTGGTGGAGTGGCTGGGCAGCTGGTGGTAGTTATTCCCCATGATGAGACTGGCAATCAACTCCGTGGTGGGATCTACCACAAGCAGCTGAGTAGCTGCCCTTGGGTTGCAGTATGCTTCCTGTGTATAAGGAGAACCTTTGAGAATGGTCTCTAGCCTATGGCACGCTTGGACCTTACATATAGCTGTGTCATTGCTCAGCAGCCTGCTATGCTCTGCCAACCTTGGGACTTACAGTGGACTTAAGTTAATGGCCTGCCGTGTGGTTTGGTAACATCGGGACTGTGCCTTTTTCCTTGCCAACCTTGGGGCTTCTCAGCCTCAGCATCCAGCAGCTGTCTGAGTGAAGAAATACCTCGAGCTCCAATGGGCCAGGGGCAGGAGGCAGAGCTGGACCCCAAGGTTGAGGGACTTTCACCTAGCCCCTAGAGCCTGGCACTTGAACTTGGACTTAAAGCCTCTAAACTGTAAAAATAAACTCCTGTTTGTTAAAGCCATCCCATTTGTGGTATATTTCTTGTCAGAGCGGCACTAGGGAACCAGAACAAGGGGTTTGGTTGTTTTTTGCAACTCCTGAAAGATCCTGTTAATAGATGTAATTCTACCAGCAATGTGTCACCCAGTGACAAGGGAAAACCATTTTTTAGATGCTGCACATGCTGCTCCATGGGTGCCCATCTTAGCAAGTGCACAAGCGAGTATCTGTGTCCGGAGTCTTTTTCCTGTGAATCCATTAACTCTGGTCACCATATTGAGACACTTCAGAAAATGAAAGCAGGACCACAAGTACCCAGGACCATAGATGTAAACCTGCATCGCTATGAGCAAACTGGGAAATCTGGTCTTCTGCCTATAATTTACTCAAAATGCTGCAGCTGCTTGCAGTAACAACATGAAACTTAAATGACACATTATTAATCATATATCAATCTTAGCTTGCCTTTTGTTTTCACATTCAAAACTTCCAACATCCTTTGATTTTCTTCTTCTACTTTCAATTCTTCTTCTGCAGCTGTTCTGAAAGGAAAAGGTCCCAAATTTAATTATCTTTGCAAATTCAGACATCTGAAGATATTATTAGACTAAGGGCTTATATAAAAATAAAGAGTAAACTGTTTATAATATTCATTATGCTTTTTACTTTACAATCAAAGTAAATTTTTTATTTACTCAGTTGTTTTTTTCTTTTCATATAAGAAAAACTATAGTATTATAGTTTGAAAAGCCTTAGCTATTAGTTAGGAAACCTATTCAAACCAATAACGGATTACTTAACTATAAATTGAAAAGGCAAATGGGAGGAGTTGTAGCATTTTTCTTTCTGATTAAATGAGAAATATTCACAATATAATGTTAAGTGAAAAAAGTAGCATATACTTATATATGCATATATATGTTGCTGTTGCTAGGTGCTGTCAAGTTGGCTCCGACTCATAGTGACCCTGTGCACAAAAGAACGAAAGACTGCCTGGTCGTGTGCCATCCATGTATATATATACAAACATTTTTTAAAAAGTAGAATATACTGGTATGTATAATAGACTTTCCAACAAACATAACAATAATAGACTTTTAATTTTATATTTAACAATATAAATGAGGAGAAAGAGACTAGAAGAAAACTAATCAAACTGTCAATGGTAATTATCTCTAGATAGTGGAATTATGGGTGTATTCAATTTTCTTTAGCTTTTCTTTGGCATTTTCCAAATTTTCTATATTGAGCAAATAGAACATTTGTAATTTTATCTTTGTGGCCAGTAAAATACCCTCTTATTTTCTTTTTAATACAGTAATGATGAAATTTAAAGAGACTTGGAGTAAGGATGCTTAAATATCTGAAAAGAATCTGCTTTTTATTGGAGTTGAACTCCTAAACTTGCCTTATAAGGGTTAAGACAGCTATAATGAAGGTTAGTAAAATGATGGAGAAAAGTAATATATATCAAAATTTAATGTATTATTTTTGACCTATAAATTCTATATTTAAGAATTTGGACCTCAGAAATAGGCATACTACTATATAAGCCATAGTATTTTCAATCACCTCATATGCATGGAAAAACTGAACAATGAATAAGGAAGACCAAAGAAGAGTTGATGCCTTTGGATTGTGATGTTGTGAAGAATATTAAATATAGCATGACTGCCAGAAGAAAGAACAAATCAGTTTTGGATGAAATACAGCCAGAATACTCCTTAGAAGTGAGGATGGTAGACTTCTGATAAGATGGTGGAACAGGCAGACAAGCTACACAGACCCTCTTCAACAAAGAAAAGGGAAACCAATTGACAGAGATACAGAAGATAATCCTGGAGCCCTGAGCTTTGAAAGGAAGTATACAGAAGTGGATTTGGCACCAACTAGTAGAAAAACCTGAATGGAAACAGTGAGTATAGAGACAGTTGGAACAGTGGACTTTCAGCTACTCTGATGGGACCGACAGCCTGAATATTTCCAAGTGGCATTGGGACCTGAGAATTGACCTAAAGATCATCCCTGGTCACCAGGTGCTGTAGGGACAACTGTGCTGGTGGCCTATGACTAGGAAGGGAAACAGCAAGGAGGGAAACAACCTGAGCTGTGGACTTTCAGCTGTCCAGATGGTGGACCCATTTTGATTTTTTACAAGCAGTGGCCATTTTGGATATTTAAAGTGACCGAGGATGCAGCCATTTTGAATGTTTACAAGTGGTGACCATTTTGGATATTTAAACTGACAGCATTCTCACTCGGATTCCAAGGACCTAAGAATAGGCTCTGTTTGCCAAGGACGGCAGGGACATATGGAAAGCTGGCAATGGGAAAGGAGACAGGTGGTGAAGGTATGAATGCTGCCATCTAGTGAACACAGGAGCACAGTACTCTGCTTACATAGACAACATCTAATGAAGATGAAAATCGTGGGCAAGTCACTCCAACATACAATCACCAATTAAATATAAACACAAAAACATCACAATGTCTCAGAGACAACAGTGCATCAGAGTCCACACAAAGAAACAAGATAAACCAGGAGAAACAAGGGACCAGGATGCAGACCCAAAACACATCTCTGAGCAAGAAGCAGCATTGGAACTCCCTGATTAGGAATTCAAAAGAATTATATGTAGGTACCTTCAACAGATTGAGAGACAGATCAAGGAAAACACTAACAAAGTTGTTGAAAACACAGAGAAAACCCTAGAACAATTTTGAAAGACAATACAAGAACAAAATGACAAAATAAATGAAAAATTAGAAATTATACAAAATCTTAGGTCCCTGGTACCTGAATGAGAATCTGTCACTTTAAATATCCAAAATGGCCACTGCTTGTACACAAACAAAATGGCTTTGCCCTCCAGACAGCCAAAAGTCCACAGCTCAGGCTGTCTCCCTCCTTGCTGAGGTTGTCTCCCTCCTTGCTGTTTCCCTTTGTAGTCACAGGCCACCTACATCATCGTCCCTGCAGCTCTTGCCAACTAGGGCTGATCTTTAGGTCAATTCTCAGGTCCCAACACTACTTGGAAATATTTAGGCTGTTAGTGCCATCAGACTAGCTGACAGTGTGCAGCTCTGACCATCTCTGCACTCACTGTTTTCATTCAGGTTTTTCCACTAGTTGGTGCCTAATCCACTTCTGTATAGTTCCTTTCAAAGCTCAGGGCTCCAGGATTATCTTCTGTATCTCTGCCAATTGGTTTCTCTTTGCTGAAAAGGGTCTGTGCAGCTTGTCTGCCTATTCTGCCATCTTACTGGAAGTCTATGCTCACATTTTTAAAAGTTCTTCATAGCATCCAGATTAGAGAATAAGCCCTTAAAGTCAAGTGTAAATAACTAATTATGAGCTGAATCTAGAAAAGAAGCAATATTAATACATTTGTTAATTGGTCTTTTCCTGTGCTCTGAATTTTAGTCTTACCACAAGTGTACTTTCAAATATATTGCTTCTTCAATTTACGGACACTAGTTAACAAAATCATTCAAGTTACAGATAAATATGAGAAAAAAAATATATCTTATGTACATATATAAATACGGGAAAAAATATATCTTATGTGTGGCACAGTATTTTCAATCGCCTCATATGCATGTGAGAGCTGGACGATGAATAAGGAAGACCAAAGAAGAGTCGATGCTTTTGAGTTGTGGTGTTGGCGAAGAATGCTGAAAGTACCATGGATTGGTAAAAAACTAATAAATCTGTTCTGGAGGAAGTGCAGCCACAATGCTCCTTGGAAGAGAGAATGGCCAGACTTCGTCTTACTTACTTTGGTTATGTTGTAAGAAGGGATCATTCCTTGAAGAAGGATATCATGGCTTGGTAAAGTGGAGGGTCAATAAAAAACGGAAAGGGCCTCATCAAGATGGATTGACACAGTGGCTACAATGATGGGCTCAGGTATAGCAAGGATCGTGTGGCGGCACAGGACTGGGCAGTGTTTTGTTCTGCTATACATAGGGTTGCTATGAGTCAGAGATGACTCGGCGGCACCAACAACGTGTGCTTTATTTATTTTACAGTGCCTTTTGAGAGTAAATGGAGCTATGGTAGCACAGTGTATAAGGCATTTGATTGCTAACCAGAAGGCTGGAGGTTCAAACCCACCAGCCACTCCACGAAAGGAAGATGGGGCAATCTACTTCCATAAAGATTTACTGCCTAGTAAACCCAAGAGGGTTGTTATGAGTCAGAATTGACTTAGTGGCAGTGGGTTTTGTTTTGTTTTTTTGAGAGTAAATATTTGATTTAGAATAAGTTTGATGGGAGCTATGAAAGCATTGACAACTGTGCAATTTAGACATTCTAGAAGTATTGGGGAAATTACTGTTTTTCTTAGCTCTAACTAGGAGTATTGTTTTGATATAAAAGGCATTACATTATTATAAATAGTAAATAGATATTTAACACCCATAAAAGATACTGCCACCTTTGTTATACGAGGTAGATTTTACCTTGATGCTTCTTCCTCTTTTTTTTTCTCCCATAGGTCATTTAGTAATCTCTCTAAAATCTTAGTGTCAACTTCTGATTTATTCTCTAAATACAATCTATTAAGTAAGCATTTTCCTGAAATACAGATAAAGGGAATAATATTATTTCTGAAGCTATATAAAATAGAGTGAGATACATTTTTGCAAGTTAACAATGATAAATTTTTTTCTACATACATCCAAATATACTTTCCTCTAAGTATTTATCTAGGAGCTCTGGTAGCGTAGTACCTAAGGCACTTGACTGCTCACCAGAAGGCTAGCGGTTCAAACCCACCAGCCACTCCTCGGAAGGAAGGTTGGGCAATCCTACTTCCATAGTGATACTGCCTCGGAAACCCAAGGAGGGGTCACTATGAGTCGGGGCCGACTCAGTGGCAAACAACAACAACAAAGTATTTATCTAAAAAAAGGCCAGTCTTTAAGTTATTAAAAATATATTAATATATAGGTTTTTTTTTTTTCACTTTGCCTTCCAACCCTATACATGGTCATGGGCACACTAGACATACCTGATCATTCAGTCTGTCCATCCATCTATTTACTCATAGATCAATGCTTGTCATCACTGACAACATAGTATTGTATGTGTGAAAGGGTTCATCTTTGTTGTCTGTACCCCCCATGTACCTCTGTGTGTCTCTCTTCACCAATGCCACCATGTTGATCACTCACATATGGTATATTGCCCTTCCCTTCACCCAAATCAATATTTGGCTCTACCCATCTAGCAGTGTTCCTTTCCCTCCCTTGGTAACCAACTAAGAAAGTTTCATTCCACATATAAACATTTCCTTGACTTTTTACAATAATGATCCAATACAATCTTTGTCCTTCTGTGATTGACTTATTTCACTCAGCATAATGTCTTCCACGTTCATCCACATGCAGTGTTTTGAAGATTCTCCATTTTTCTTTAGTGTCAAATAGTATTCCATTGTGTGTATTTACCATAGTTTGGTTGTCCATTCTTCCGTTGATGGGCACCTAGGTTGTTTCCTTCTTTTTGCTATTGTAAATAGTGCCGTGATAAACATGGATGTGCATATATCTGTTCATGTCCTGGCTCTCACTTCTTTAGGATATATACCTAGTAATGGGATTGCTGGGTCACATGGTATTTCTAATTCCAACTAAAACTATATAAATATATAGTTTTAAAAAGTATATTCTGGCATGGTAATAACTAAATCATTAAAAAAAGAAATATATTACATTAGTATCCTCCCTCTGCAAACTCACTTCAAATATATTTTCTTAGGTGGGAAAGTAACAGAATAATTAAAATTGAGCTCTGTTATCTTCATGTACTTATTTTTTCCCACTTGAAAGGAAGAACTATCATATTTTTTGCAGATAACACGCATGTTATACATTTTTTTGCAAACTGTGCAACCCCTTTGCACATTAGTTTCCTATGCATGCTATGCAAGCTATATGCATGTGAGCATTATTTACATGGGTACATTACACACAAAAAATACAGCATTCGTAAGTATAGTCTTTCCCCATTAGCCTTATAAACCTCCTCAATTATTGACTATCTCATCACCTGACATTTCACATTTATGACAATAGTAAAAAATGTACTATCTAACTATTTTGCACATTAATGATATATGTCTGGTAGTAATGAGTGGTGAGGTGCTAGGCAACAGTAATGCTGGCTGTGGTGGCTAGGGTTATGTATCAACTTGGCTGGGCCATGATTATGAGTGGTTTGGCAGTTATGTAACACAGTCATCCTCCATTATATGATCTGATGTGGTCATCCTCCATTTTTGCATAATGCCAATTTTCTCATAATGACCAGGTCTTTGGAACCTAACCATGTCGATAAATGAGGAATGTGTTTATATTGTTCTTTAGAAGCTACAGCTGCTGACCAAGAGGATGTGTTAAATTCTCAGCTTCAAAGAAAAATCATATTATAAAAGACTTATAGAACTTCCAGTGATCCTGGACACTATCCCTTGCCACCTATTCAGTGAATGGAAGCCTCATTTTGCACATGCAGGAATTGCTGGGGTGGCATTTGTATCTGTCCTTTATTTTAACCAAACATATTGTCAGCAATAGACATTTCATTTCAAGATATAAATGACAAATATTTACCAACCATTGTTTTCCACATCAGATAAACAGATGATTAAATCAGGTAAAAGTCCTTTCTCAGTTAAGGCTATCCACAGTTCTCTCGTAAAAGGGCAGTTATCTATGATCCAGCCTCCATATTTTTGGGCACCAGGAAATCTTTTCTTGTTTCCTTTCATTATCTGTGAAAGACAGCACACTAATATTAAAATCATAGCTCGACATGTCAAGGAATGAGGTGGGATGCTACCTTAGTATGTCATTTTTGTGGATTGTAGCTAAGCACCTTTTGAGTTCTTGTCACTGTCAGAAGGAAAAAGAGCCACTTAATTTTAGAAGACTACTTTAGTTTTTAAGCAACAAAGCTACAGTTTTTAAAAATTAAGAGTTGAAATAAAAAGTCCTTATTAATAAATAAAAATATATTTTTGTTATATATTATCCAGTATAACAGAGTAGTCAATTAAGGTATTACTGGTGGGAGAGACAGGGAAACAAGAGCAAGCTGTAAGGGAAGAGATGAGGGAAGGGAGAAAAAAGAGCTGCTGAGGAGTTAAAGAAGAGGGGTGTGCAAAAAGAAGTAACTATGAAAGACAGAGGCTCTTAAAAGGGAGAAACCAGAAAGTGATGAAGAAGAAATTCAAATGGTTAAAAAAATTGTTAATGTTCACGTTCCAACCAAAGGTAAATAAGAAGCACTGAGAAAATTTTTTTAATAATTTCACAATCTTGTACTTTTTTAGAAAAAAATTTAACGACATCATAATATTTTATCAAATAAATAAATCTTAATTTGTTTAATCATCTCCTTAGTGTTAGACAGGAGCTCTGGTAGCATAGTGCCTGCAAAAACGGCAAGGAGGCCACATGTTCTGACCTCCTCTAATC